GGCGTCCGTTAAGAAGACTGCCATTGACCCCATAGCATAGACGCCAACGTTTAGAATGATGCCGGACTGGAGCGATGTAGATGACAGAATGGCAAAACGTCGTGTTCTCAGATGAGTCACGCTTCTGTTTATCCAGTGACAGTCGCCGCATACGTGTGTGGCGTCGACGTGGAGACAGATCTAATCCGGCAGTAACTGTGGAACCGCACGACCCACCGCACGACTACGTGGCATAATGGTTTGGGGCGCTATTGCCTACGATTCAGGTCACCTCTAGTTCGCATTCAGGGCACTATGACGGCCCAACGATACTTGGATAATGTACTGGCGCCGGTGGCAATCCCCTACCTTCAGGGGATGCCTAATGCAATTTTTCAGCAGGATAACGCCAGACACAGCAGTGCTGCCAACATGTAACAACATCTGCCAACATGCTCTGCAAGGTATGCAGATGCTTCCCTGGCCACCGTACTCTCCTGACCTGTCACCAATCGAACATGTGTGGGATGTGATTGGACGCCGTTTGCAGACTCTGACCCCGTCTCGTTCACAAGACGAACTGTGGCAAATGGTTGAAAGGGAATCGAAAGCCATCCTTCAGGTCACCATCCGCACTCTTATTGACGCTATGCCTAGACGTGTTTCTTCATGCATCGCTGTCCGCGGGGTCCTACATCCTACTGAGCCGATGCCGTTCTTGCTCTGTATTCTGACTATCATTTTGAAATAAAGAACACTTATTGCTGCTTGCTGTGTCGTTTTTCCAAATTTCATCACTTTCTGACCACTCCTTCTTGGTGTTGCATTTTCAATGTCGAGCAGTGTATTTTTAACTGAATTATATTTTGTATTGTATGTACTGCTGTATATATTGAAAATATATTGCTCATTTAATTCTACAGCAATCTTTCCTTCTTTATTTTAACCATATTTCGCTGTTTCTGTTGTATTACTATAAAAATAATTTTTACCTTATTTTTTATATAACAGTTACTTGCTTAAAGAACAATAAAAACCAGTTTCAAAAATTTACATTTTTGCTGAAAGTTATTATTTAAAATGCATTTTGTTGTTATGATTATCATTTGACTTGGAATTAAAAAGATCTGAAAACTCATACGAACTGTCAGAGAAAGCCTAAATTGTATGCCAAACTAAAATAGCGTTGTAATTTCGCTTTAAGAACATAAATATTGTAATGAAAAAAAAAAAAAAATTAAATTTTCGATAATTAATATAGTAACTGGTACTTCAACCGCTATTTTGACATTAATTACGCTAAAAGCAACCAAAAATTTCTTCAGTTGATAAATTTCATCCCATTACAGTATTTCACGCTCTCAAAAATTCTACTAATATAGCAAATGGTATTAATTCCTTTTTCTCTAAAAGTTTGAAACAATCCCTAATTTGTTAGCTTAGGGATTGTTCATAGCTTAGGGATTGTGAACCTTTTGAATTTTGTATTTGCTCGGTAAAAGACCCTTTGTTCATTACATGTGATTTCGCCTATTCATCTGCCTCCTATTCACCTGTTTCTCCTATAGAGAACCTGTTTTAATTCTTAAAAAGGATGAACTTGGGTCATTGCAGTTCATCATAATGGGTACATGTTTAAACAGCATCAACAACAGTCTAACATCATTTATTACTTTTAAATTATATATTTTATACTGACTGTATCTCTCCTACACCTGACGCCAGCTTTATAAATGACGTTTTAGGTTTCCTATCTATATAGATGAATGCAATCTAAATAACTATACTATTAGGATGCGCAATTTTCAGGCTTTATTTGGAAACTGAACGTGAACATATGTAAAGCAGATGTGTTATGTATCTTTGTTGTTAACGGTCTTTCAGACCCAATTCGTATAAATTACACCAATATTTTGAATGGATTCCATATGGGGAATAAAATGTAAATGCAACAGAGAAGATTATAAGCCCATATTTTTATTTTAAATTTCTTTTTGTGTGCAAAATTTTGATGAGCAAAATTTTGCTAGCAAGTGAATGAATGCAAGGAATAAAGTTATGCACTGCCGATACTAAAATAGTACATTTGAAACTACAGAGCCCTTAAAATAAAATTCTGTTTTTATATTTAAACCTTGTATTGTATAATTATGTATTTTCTATTTAAAAACACAGTTTTTAATATTAATAAGCATTTATTACTTATGTAGACATTTATGAAAAAAGTAATTATATTGCTTAAAAATCAATAGTGCATGAGTTAACAATTTTCTTGACAACAATTTAAATGAAAATTGATTTCAAATAGAAAGCGCCATACGACGAAGGCTTTGGAGTCACTTTAGATTTTTAAATGAGTACTTCCTTCTCTTATGATTTATTATTTTGAAAGAATGAAAACAAACTGACTAGTGTTTCCTGACCGAGCAATAATTAATCTCTACCATTATTAAAATGCAAAGATTTCTACATATTTCATTAAATTAATTGATTTAATTTTCTCTCAAATTCCTTTCATTTGAATTAGGATAAATTTCGATTCACTTAAAAAGATGAGTTCAATTTGGGTTTGTCGCAAGTAATCAGTGTAAGATTAAATCTTTTAGTCCAGAGACAAATTGCTGAGTTTCTTACGTAGAAATTGCTTGTATTTCTGGAGTTGGTAAATGACATCGTATAGCTCAATTAGCAAGCAAACAGGTCCACAGAGTATTGGTACTTTCTCCAGCTAGGGCCTGTTTATCCATGTGACTTTTCCTCTTTAAATATTTTCGTTTCGATTTCACAGACCAATATTTTGACGTAAAAGGCTTATTTCTCAGTTACTAGTAGATTTTATTATTTAAACTAAAATAGTAGTTTTTAGTATATAAAGTAAACCTTTAGTTGTGATAAACTTAAATGAAAATTAAGAAATAGTTTTTAGTAGATAATTATTGACTAAGCTTTCTGTGAAATTAAGTGCATATTCAAATTTGAAACCACCGAAGATTTAAATTCATAAATGCTTGTACATTTCTTATTAGTAACGCACGTAATGAGAACGCAAGTGAATGAAGTAATAATGCATATTAAAATTTGCCTGCATAATGTTTTCCTTTCTTAATTATTCCACAAATTTTCATCTAGATAATGTAGAGAATGCTGCTTAACACATGAAAGTTATTCGTTCGGCAAAGCTGAAAATTTCTTGAACTCACCTGTTCATGTTTTGCGATGCCATCTATAATGTGCAGCATAGGAAGTTCGTTGGTTGTGTTTTTGATCTGTCGGCACACTTAAGTAAATAATATCGAAAATCATGCAAATTATTTAAAATTATAACGTATGCAGACGATTTTTTTCTTCCCAAAACAATTAAGTTACCCTTCGAAACCTTCGAATTTCCTTTTTTCTTCTTCGAGTTGATATTTAACATAATTAGCAACGGTGTTTTGAAAATTCGTTTTATATGCAATGTAGCTTTATAACATGATATGCTGACAGAGATGAATATTACTCGTCAAATATTACGAAAATTTGCAATCCTTCCTCAGCTTACTTCCATATAATACTACTGATTTAGTTATCAACCTCTTCATTAACTTTCTCATTTCCCAGCACATGTTCGATTATTTTGGCATCATCTTGAAAGAAGGCGACAAATACAAAATTCTTACATCTTACTACCCTGAACTTAACTATTCACTAACTTTCTTCGAACATGTAACGAAATCTACAATGTCAGACACGGCCAAGGAAGTGTTTTAAAACAACGAGAAGTTTCACTATAATACTGGTCATTTACGAATAATATCACAGCTTACAGTTTGAGCCCAAATCGGCGTAAAGAAAATTCTTTCTAGAAAAAAGATGAAGTAAATATGGCGTCTTTCTGAGTAAATTGGTTTTGAATGTTCGGACATTACCTTTTCCCATCCACGCATAAAAGGAGATCTATATATCGCCTTTTTGTTTCGGATAACTCCTCGGTTCTTTGGTTGGATAAAGCTTGTTACAATGTGCGGCAGAAACAAACTACAAACCTTTTTCACAGTTAGATCTTCAGTTTGTTAGCGCATAACATATATTTTATCACATTGTCCTAAATTTCGGATTTAAAGTAAGATTTTCAAAAGTTCCTCTTCTTTAAAATTACTGGCTAAATGGATGCCGGCTACGAGAAATTTTACTGTGCGAAATATATATATTAAATCTCCCGCATTATCTCGTAACCGGCATGCGGTTACGAGATAATGTGGTTTGAACAGAACTTAAACATACAGATAATAACAATGAGGTTAAAAAAAGCGGTTATAATGAATTTATCTCCTTTAACATACGATGTCGTTCGAAACACTAGCCTATATGTCCTCCAAGAGTGTCCACTGTTGCGATTCTTTTCTGAAGAGAAAAACTTTCATTGATCAATGATTGTACATGTTCGTGGTTTTTCTGCAAGCAGTGGGAACAGTCTACAGCAGTCGCAATGGAGCAGATGAACCGAGCAAGACACTATTTGAACAATCGGGAGGGAGGCAGCGTCGGTTTTTCTACCGCCATACTACACTGCATATATTTTTAAGCACATGTCAAGAGATGTTGGATTTTGATAACAACGTTTGGCAACGGAATATATAGCATTTTAATGAAAACAAAGGAAATGTAAATCTGGAAATATCATCATTTGCATGCTGTTTTATATTTTCCAAAGTACTGTTACAATAAGACAATTTGCACTTGCCTTCTATATTTTAAGCATTAAAAATCAACTTTGGAGAGAAATGTTTCGAAACTTCAGAAAAATTTTTATAAATTAATTAATTTATTTTAGGGTTTTTATTTGCACTGGTTAATTGAAACTGGACAGCACTAAATAGTTTGAAATATAATTAATTTATTAAATGCCACTATTCCCTGTTACGTTTTCCTGCCTATTTTCTTATAATTTCCTTCAAATATTTCAGTGTTAAATCACACATTTGTGAAATAATAATAATCGTTTGTTAACTTTTAAGGTATTTCTCCCGCCTTCTTACCATGCCTTCGTAGTGTAGTGGTCAGCACGCTCGACGTGTATTCGAGAGGCCTTTGGTTCGAATCCCTGCGAAGGCCTTGCTTATCTCTCCGGCTTCGAAATAACCTAATGTCTCTAAAACTTCACTTTCCTTTTATAGTAAAACTTCAATTTAAAGCTTATCAAAGGCATTTGAAAATTTTCAGTAAATAGAGGAATTGTCTTATTTTAGTTTTAAATGCAATACATACTAAACTGTTCTGAAATTTAGTTTTTAATTAATAATTACCCAGCTCTTATCTGCTTAAAGCAATCATAGAGCAAAAGTATTTGTAGAGAATTTTTAATACAAGGTAATCTTCAATTAATTTCACGCATGCTTGCTCGGGCTATTAAAAATCGTTTTATCAAAGATATAATCATATCAAGGCTGAATTATATATGAAAATTGTACAACTTTCCATGATAAATATAGTACGCTGTAAAAATTGTTAATGAAATCCCTCCCCTTCTTTTTCGCTTTCTAGATTAAAATTCTTCAGTTTATTGCTAGAGCAACAGAAAATGGTCTTACTCGAATCTGTGCAATAGTTTTCAATTTTAAGGACCCTACTTTTGCGACTCAAGAGTCCTTCACTTTAAAGTTGAGCGAAAATGTTTAAAGCAGAAAAACTCTTTATTTCCTCTTCAAAGTTCTAATTAACAACTGTGAAACATGAACATTCCATGTATCACAAGCAAGACTGAATTCCCTAAGATTTCCTTTAATTTCATAACCAATGTGAAAATGCATATATAATATTTTATATTTTATTTTTTAATCTTGAAAATTCCCTTTCACTGCTACATAGCTATACTTTGGGTTGTAAAATAGATACGCGTTTAATTAAATTTATAGAGTAAAATCACAGAAAAGCGGAATTACTCAAGTGAAAATACTGTTGCGTGCGTACGGGTTCGTTATGAAATGAATGCACAAGTCGGATGAAATATGAACAAAAATTTATTATTATCACAACCAAAATGCTTAAATTTTCTCAAATTATCATGCAGTATTACAATATCTCACAGTAGTTATCTTTTAACTACTCAAATATCCAATAGAACGAAATTCAAAACAGCTAAAGAACGCTAATCCGCGAATTCGCTACAATCAACAAGAGCAGTTTTCTAAACAACAATAAACTAAGCAAATACTACGAACTGAGATGTTTTCCTCCTTTTATAAGATTTAAAAAATCACGCGCTAGAATTTTCCAGTACTTTCTCGAAATCAAAAAGAGATATTTATTTATTTAATGCACGCGCTCTGTATTTTTTTCAATTTTTCCGGCTTAGCTTTCTTTTAATATTCGTCACGCGCTGCACCGCGCGAGAAATAAAACCATTTAATTTATAATTGAACTAACATTAACTTTTTAAATACCAAATTTGTAACAATACGTTATAAAAATTTCTCTTTCTGTACTACATATTTATCCTTATATTTTATTATTTATCAGGCCTTCTAAAACGTTTTTCAGGTGCGATCCCTTTTCATTACTGATATTTTTTCGCGGCTCCAGGACCCCGTAATATTTACGAAACTTTTATGCGAACCCCTAAGCATTGCGCAAATCCGACACACACGTGAGTGAAACTGCCAATTTTTTTACTTATATTGTAATATACTATTGCAGTTTTAGGTCATTAACTTCAATTTCTGATTTTAAGACATAGAACAATGTGAAAATTTTAAATAAGTAACAGACGAAATGACAGCGTCACGTGCAAAGCGAGTAAATTGAACGTTTATATTATAATAAGAATGCGTCGAAACGTTTTCGTTTTTTCTTTGTCTGTATCGTCTTATTTCTATCTATTTTCAGATACATTGTGTAAAAATATTTGGTAACTGTAAAATTATTATAATAAGTTAAAGAATTATCAAAACTGCTAAAATTTTTCGTGACCCCCATGAGCGTCGCGACCCACAGTTTAAGAAACTCTTATCTATATTAGCAGTTAAAAACGTATCTCTTACAGTCTTAGAGAAATTAAAAATTAAATCTTAAGCTTAACAATGTTAAGCGTTCATTTTTCACAATTCCTGAAAACTCAGATTTACGTTTTACTAATATTTATCAAGTATATGTTTAAGAAATCTGAAACTCTGTTCTCTGTGACTTGAGATTAATGCTACACAAAAAAGAGGTTTTCTTAAACTACCTTTCAATTTCTTCTCTGTGACTGTTGACATTTTACCGCAAGTAAACAAAAGAGGTAATAATAGGTGATTTACAATAACATTTAAGCAGAAATAAAGATATTTTGAACTATTATTATTCAATACAATCTGCAGAAAGACGAAACCTGAATTTTGTAAATCATAAAGCATGACATAAATTTATAACTAAAAAACATACTCTTATTTATTATTTAAAATGATTTTTTCCTAAGGATTACTCATTGTCCTAAATGTATTTTATATTCTTTGATTTTTTTCACAACTATTTTACAACGAGCAACGACAGAGAAAAATGCAATGGAACTATCTAGAGGATGTTAGAAAACAAGAAATAAAAACAATTTTTTTTTCATTTAAGAGGAATGCAAGCAATTATTTTGCAGCTAGTCTGAAGGGAATTAATTATAAAAGAAACTACATCAGTTCTTTAAATACTTCAGACATATTTCGCCCACAGAGGAATGCAACAAAGAGTCAGATGAGTGTAATAAATATTAATTACCTCTCTTGTGCTTCTTTATTTAAAATAAAAATACTATATTGAAATATTTAAATGTCATGGGAAAGGAATAACTATTATATCTGGAAAAAGCGCTTTGTGATAATACGTTAATTCATGCATCTTCTGTAGCTAATTGGGTAATCCTTTTTACATGAATAGCTGCATTTTAAATTCTGAAATCATTAAATACAAATCAAGTGACAAAAGTAAAAAGCTTACGGATTAAATCAGTTACATAAAAAAGCGCATATTTTTACTTAAGCATAATAAACGCATAGTTGTTTTTTTTTTTTTTGCTTCTCTTAATGCTATATTTCATTTACTAAATTACAAATGCAATTTCTAATTTGCTCGTTAAATGCATTTCCTTAGGTAACAAATCTTGCGTAAGAGTTTGGATTAACTGTTATAACTGCTAATTCGGATATATTACAAAATGTGAACAAAACAGAACATAAAACATTTGTTAGTTTATATGGTAAAATGTCTCTTTTAAACCTCTTTCTAGATTTTATTGAATTTAATGATATAAAAGCAAAGGGTTACAGCCGAAAATATCGCGGCAAAAACATCGCGGGCGAAAATATCGCGGCAAAAGCATCGCGGGTGAAAATATCGCGGCAAAAACATCGCGGGCGAAAACACCGTGGTACAAAACATCGTGAGAGAAAAGAAAGCAAAGAGAAAATTTCGCAGTTCTAAAATGTCGTGGTCGAAAATAAAGCTGTTCAGAAACGTGTGTGTAACTTGAATAGGATCCACGTTTCTTTAGAATGTTCTACAAGAAGGCAACCAACCCTACCTTAAGGCAAATAGCCCTCGTCTGCTATGCTATATTCAAATACCCTAAGCATCTTGCTTCAAAATTCATTCATAAAGACAACCGCCTCGAGACAGGAAACGTTGACCTACTGTGCATTTAGCCTTAACCAGCGAATCGAGCAACAGAATTTAGAACTGTAAAATGTAGAAAAATAAATCACTTTCCGTGTATGTTATCGTTTTGACTTCCCAATGATTTTTAGAAATCGTATGCTTTCTTTTGTTTCAAAATCATCCTTTTTTTACTTTAATGGTATACTTAATAATTGCTCACTTCTTAATATGAGCTTCTATAATTTCTTCTTACCGTTTGATATTTGAAGATGTTGCTTCGATAGAATTTAGAATATCTAAATGAGAAATCGCAAACCGATTTTCAGTAAATAGGGTATTCAAAGTAATAATTTTAGGAATAATAAAAACATTCGTACTTTATAATTTTAAGATTAATAAAAACATTTATTCTCGAGTAAAACAAATCCTGATATATTGCAAAATTGCTGTGCTGAGAAATCTTAATATTTTCAGATTATTTGAGGGTTCTGAAGTGTCAATATACTGTATTCCTCAGATTCAGATAACAGTTTCTAGTATACAAATTAAATGTGCCTAAATCTATTAAAATTCAATTTTGTGCTGCTATAGCACAGTGGTTTCTAATTCTGCTCTTAGACAGTTTTTTTTTGATAATTAGCTTCTAATATTTTTGAAAATAATATAGAAGGCATTAAACACGATACAAGCAAATCAACATTGTCGCCAAACAATGATAAATATTCAAATCGAGTAGCCTAAAAGTATAGTTATTCAAAAGGCTATTTACTATTTAGACAAGCTAGACGAGCAGAAAAACAGGACTTGCATTAGGATACATTTTTGTTAAAAACTATTGAAGCAGACTGACTGAAAAATTCAAGATAAGCACCAAATAAAATGTCTTCGGAGATATACAGAACTGCATTGCATTTTATTCATTCATAACTATACAAACAGTAATTAACTAATATTAAAATGAAACAATTTTAAACCTACATCCAATGCCTTCCACAAGTTTTGAGAATGACGTTGCTGCTTTGCTTCATTTGGTAATGCGAAAGCGTTTTAACTGCAGACATTAGCCCCGATCGTAATTTGTAACCAGTCATTACTGTTGACGTTCGAAAAAATAATGCTGAATTTATTTACTGGGAATCTATTCTTTAGCCTCTACCAAAGCTGGAATCAGTACTGTATTTCATCACCTTGTGGTGGTTTAGTGTAAATGCATTGTGCTCTTGCCTACTACATCACTTTAATTACAACATAACTGTCACTCGCTCGGTCCTGAAGTAGATTAAGGCATCGTATTATAGATGGAGCAAGATTTCTGTGAGAAGTTTTTCCGAAAGCTGTTTCGTATGGCAAACTACAATGTGCCAGAAATATTTTGGATATTTATACGAGGATGTAGAAGAGGTAGTATGTGTATGCTGAAAGTTACTTTAAAGATGTACTGTAGTCTGAGAACGACGGTCTGTTGGAATACTTTGAAACAGAACGTTTCCCCT